GGGGGGGGGGCAGAGGACTGGGAGGAGGAGGAGGTTAGTGTGATGGGCCCTGGGGAGCACCACCAACTTTTTTATAGCTTTTGGGGCTCCCTAATTGTTCACCTCTGTGGTATAGTAATCTAATCTTTCTCCCTAGTTATTTCAGTAAGCCCGGATCGCACAGCTCCTGCTGTATTTCCATTGCCCCCACCAGCACCGGTGCTGCACGTATGATAGACACTGGCACAGTTGTGTCTCCACCCCAATCTACATTTTGTCAAAACATAGCACCGGAGTCTGTCCTCGCAGCGCTGGTGTCATTGGGTGACTGAAGTTCAATGATTGCCATGAAAACATTTAGTTTCACCTCCCCCATACTTGTCCTGCTCTGATCTCCCCCCATTACCAAGGTGTTTTACACATAACCTACTGGAAGGTGTTTATTTTTCTTATTATTCTCCACCATTATTTATAACCTCTGGAGCAGAGGTAGCCAAACTCCGGCCCTCCAGCTGTGGGTGAAACTACAAATCTCATGATGCATCTCTCTCCGGGAGTCGTGGCTGTGAGAATCTTGCAATGCTTCATGGGATTTGCAGTTCCACACACAGCTGGAGGGCCGGAGCTTGGCTACCCCTGATCTAGAGCCTGTAGTGGGTGGAAATCCCGGGAGGTCGGCGGTGTCTGGGGTTCTGTGACCGCCACACGTGGCGCTATTTATGTATTACAGGTATTTATACAGCGCCGACAGTTTACGCAGTGCTTTTACATACAGCACAGTCACATCAGACCCCGCCCCCAAGGAGCTTACAATCTAAGGTCTCTTATCTCACATGCATACAGGGCTGGTGAACCTTCCAGCGTGTCATTGGAGCGGCATTAACAATCATTCCAGAGACCTTAGATGATAATTTTCCTGTTTGCTGGATCTTCAGTTCAACCTCTTGACCATGTCTGAATGCTTTGCATATTGAGTTGCAACCAGATAATTCACTCTTTGTATTAAAGGAGAACTAGGAGGGGGGGGGTGCTTTTCACTCACCTCATAGTTCTAGCCGACCTGCGACAATGAGACTGTCACACGTCGGCTCAGTAGATCTGGAGGTGAGCGAACACATACCGGCGTTCGCTCACTTCTCGATCCTGTCACGGCTCTCTTCCGTGACAGGGGAGGGGCTGGATTCCCCCCGCTCCGATCCGCCAGCGCTGACTGGCGGAGGGGAGGGGGGCGGGTACAGCTGGCTCTGCCTCTAGATAGGCGGAGCCAGCTGTCCCTCACGCAGCTGGGCGGATCCTGGCATAATTGTCGGTATCCGCTTCAGCTGCGGCGTCTCAGTATATTGCGATCTGTAGCTCCCTATATACTGAGCCTACGGTGACGGGAGGACGCTAGTTTGCGTCCTCCCGTTACCCTAAGGAGAACTATGGGGAAAAGCCCTGAGCCCATAGTTCTCCTTTAACAAGCTGTACCCAATAAAGTGGCCATTGGGTGTCTTATTATATGTTCTCTCTTTGCTTCTAGTGGATGTGGAGGCGCTACAGCAAGTGATGGTGGATATATTTAGTCATTGTAATGCGGAGGCGGAGCAGCCTGATTATAGACCGTCTGTCGGTGACGCTTGCTGTGCCAAATTTACAGGTCAGTAAAATTAAACCAGTTCTGCAACATTTGAAAACCGACCACCATTCCCCTTTCCTCCTCCCTTTCCCTGGATAATGTGCAGACTCTTATTTCTTTTTGTGCCTCTTTAAAGTTCCATTAAAATTTAGATTATAGGTTGCCGTCACATCACCACCCTAGCTGCACTGAGAATCCTGCTCCGCTCATGCTGCGGGTGGACATCGGCACACACCACTCGAGTGATGTGTGCCACTCAGGGACTGCATGCCCCTGTGGGCATTGCGCCTCCATTCTGATGCGGGTGTATGACAGTCTAAAGTATGGACGGAGAAAGAGGCAGGTTATTTGCACCCACTAGCAGAGACAATACCGCCGCTGGACAGCCATTAGAAAATGTCCCTGTCACACAGGCATTCGTAGTGCCCATGCTGACCTGCGTCCACCTCCAAAACCACCTACAATGGGCGCGAAGCATCAGAACTGGACCACGGAGCGATGGAAGAAGGTGGCCGGTTCTGATGAATCATGTGGATGGCTGGGTGTGTGTGTCACTTACCTGGGGAAGAGATGTCACCGGGATGCACGGGGGGAAGAAGACAAGCCGGCGGGGGCCGTGTGATGCTTTGGGCAATGTTCTGCTGGGAAACCTCGGGTCCTCCATTCATGTGGATGTCACTCTGACACGTACCACCGACCTAAACATTGTCACTGACCAAGTCCCCCACATTCATGGACACGGTATTCCCTGATGGCAGTGGCCTCTCTCAGCAGGATAATGATCCCGGCCACACTGCACACATGGGGTATAGAATGGTTTGAGGAACAACAACGAGTTTGAGGTGATGACCTCCAAATTCTCCAGATCTCAGTCCAACCGATCATCTGTGGGATGTGCTAGAGAAACAGGTCGGATCCATGGAGGCCGATCACCTCACAAGGATCTGCTACTGACGGCTTGGTGCCAGATACCACAGCACACCTTCAAAGGTCTATGGGGTGCATGCCTGGATGGGTCAGGAAAAGGGGGACCTGCTCAGTATTAGGCAGGTAATCATAATGTTCTGGCTCATTGGTGTACATCATCAGTATGATGACCGAACATTCTATACAGGGCATTGTATCCCAAAGCTATTAGCAGACTAGACTTCCCAAAATTCGTTCCTCTCTGGACCCTCATGATGGGCGTGGACCATGCCAGGGTTGGTCCAAGATGGGATTCAGAGATGCGAGTTCGGCTTGTATCCACCTTTTGTAGATTCCATCCCACCAGCCCGCAGAGCTATCGGTGAAACTCATGTTTTACTCCGGGTGACGTGACTTCATGGGTCCTCCTCTTCCTCTGGCTTTGGAGGGATTTCCTCTTGCTCCATGTTGTGTCTGCAGGACTGGACCTGAAGGGAAATTTCCAGATAGAGAAGAGAGGAGTTTAAAAACTTCCCAACTCTGTTCAAATACCCCAAAAACTTTTTTGGATTTAGATCTAATTTAGCTTTCTTTCTACATTTTGGGGACCATTCCAACTTTATTATCAATGAATCTGAGATTGAAGCACAACACCGGAAATTAGAGTGCAGCCGAAACCCAAACTTTTTTTTTGGGGGG